TCTAGCTTTAAGGAGTATTTTACTTGAAATACCAAATGGATTTAACTTTATTCTCAAAATTTTCAAGTAAGCAATGTATTTACACATAAGCCTCTTACATTGCCACCCCCTTTCCAAATAATATTTACAGTAGAAAATAAAAAAAGCAATCACACAGCCCCTTTTGACATTGTTTCTTGATGCCAGTCCGAAAATTAAAGTTTATAAGCTAAAAAAAAAAGATTTTATACCAATTGCATTGGACTTAATTCAATAATTAATCTATTAATTATTAGTCTAATTTTATTTTAGTTTATAAAGTTAATTTTTTTCTAAATAATTTTTAAACTTTATAAAATATTTTAGAATAGTATATTGTATAAAAATTCTATTAGTTTTAACAAAAAAAAAGTTAAATCAAAATTAAAACAGAATAACCCAATTAACAAAAACAATCCATAACAAACTATATCAATAATTAAAATATGTCAATAGAATCTGGATATTGCTTCCAACAGCTATACCAAAGATGGAAAGCCAATACTATTATTAAATCCAAAACAGAAAAACAGCATAAGAAAGACTACCAAAAAATGAAACTGAAAGGGATCAGACAAGACGTTTTGTCTTTTTCAAGAAATAATTTGATCTAAACTACTAATGGAGAATAACACTGATTTAGAAAACTCAAACAGCTTCCATGATGCATGTTGTAAACTTCTCACCTCAATTACTCATTCTCTGGTCGATGGACTTAATATATCTTACGGTGCTAAGGTTATAGCCAGCATTATAATGCTAGATAGATAAATTTGCTCCAAGCCAATTGAGGCATTTATCCATTCAAAATTGAATCAAGAAATAGGCAAACCACATTTACAGAGCACAAGAAAAATTCCCTGGTTGTTTCCTATCAGCCATGCAAATAAGCAACTGAAATGCAACAAAAATATAAAAAGAAAATACAAACGCAAGAAAGGCATTTTGCTTACATCACCAACATTGAGATCCAGATTTCCATGAGTGTTTCCATTTCCAGATGCATTTTTCTCATCATTAGGAATCCACTTGAAATTGCTACTCTGAGGCCCATCAGAACCATTGTTGGGGCTCTTAATGAACATTGCATCAGTAACTTGATCTCCTTGGTCCATAGATTCATTGGTCATGCTGGCACTTTCTGAAATATTTTCCAGCTCC